TTTTTTTTTCCGGAGGTGGAGCACACCACAGGAGAACTCCCCCTTTGCTCTTTGGGCCTTCAACTGATTGGACCAGGCCCACCCACATTCCAGGAGTTGGTCTGCTCCACTTAGGTCCGACTGACTTAAACCACATGCCACGGAGGGCTACCCCAGGGGACAGAGTGGAGCTGCCCCAGAGTTCCCAAGGGTGACATCTGGAGGGAATCCGGTCACCAGGCCTTTCACCCAAGGAGTTGCCAGTGGGTTCCCATCATAGCCCTGACGGTTAGCAGCCAAGCGCTTACCCGCTGATCGGCCAGGGCTCCTTGAATCACATGCAACCTTCTCCCAACGGAGAATTGGACAGTCCTTGTCCCAAGGCCCCAGAGCCCGGTCAGGTTGACTCAAAATTCACCTGCACGTCCTTTTTCCTTCTCACTCCCCACCCCTCTCCGCAGGGAGGCCTATGACCCCAAGTACCTGCATCGAAAGGCCAACAAAGACTTGATTGCATATTACCCCTACAACCTACTCGGCTGCCCCCTCCTCCTCTACTACGACTACCCATGGAAGCCAGTGGTGGAATTGTAAGACCCAGTGGTTATGATGGGGTGTGGGGGGGATGTGGTGTGTCCCCTTGTCCCAGGGTTTCCCTTCCCCCAAGCCCTTTGGTCCCCTCATTGCCCTCGCCCCATGGACCTCTCCCTGGAACGTGGCCCCTGCCTCTTCCCCTCTTTCGGCACAGCCATCCCCTCTGCACCCCGACTTTACACGTCCCCAAGGGCTCTACTCCGCCACCCCCCACCCCCACCTCCTCTGCGTGAGATTCTCTCTCTTGGTGGGCATATCTTCATGTGTGCCAGGGCCAGGCTTACCCAGAGCAGAGGTGCCCACCCAACCATCTCCTCGCCGTCTCCCCTTGGGGGGTTCCCCTCTGTGCATTCTATTCCCAGCCCCTTGGTCTCCCAGAGACGATGTCTCCGAGAAGTGCTGTGGGGCTCGGAGGGGACCCCTGTTCTTCTAGGAGCTTGGTCTGTCACCCCCACTGCGAGGTGACCTCAGGGGATGTCTGGGTTCAGGGCAGTGGAGCTGGGGAGCCCTCTAGTTTCAACTGGTCCAGGAAAGTCTGGGTGGTTTACGATTTGGAGTTCCACTCCGTGTTTTGCTCCCCTTTGGTCAGCCCCCACCCCCGCCCCGCCCGGTGGGTGGTTGAGTAGTAAGGACTGCTAGTGGCCCAGTGGACCGTTAGCCACCTGCCACGGAGCTATCTGCTCCTGTTCCGCTGCCACCCATAGGGGGACAGCCTGTGCGTTCTTCGCAGCCTGAGCAGTCTGCTGAAAGCTGCTCATGGGGGGGACCCTGCTGGTGTCACCCCAATACCAGTGACACCGCTCCCAGCCTCGCAGCGACACCCCCGTCAGTCCCCACAGTACGGCACCGTGACAGACAAGGCTGAAGAAGTCGCTGCAGAAGAATGTGGAAAGTTTTCGCACGGACGGCAAAAAGGACAAGCGAGTCTGTCTGGGAAGAAACCACACTCGGAATGCCGCCTGGAAGCGCAGATGGGAGACGGCCTCTCGGGTCCTTTGGACATGGTGCCAGGACAGACCAGTGCCTGGAGAAGGACACCGTCGTGCTTGGTGAAGTAGAGAGTCAGCGAACCAGAGAAGGTCCTGGGCAAGACCGAGGGACACAGCGGCTACAGCAGATGAACCCTTGTGGGGCCTGGTGGTTTGTCCTGCTGTGCAGCAGGTTGCTGTGAGTCCAACCCAACTCGACAGCACCACACATCCACTGCGCCAGTGCCACTCGGTGTACAGAAGACCAAAACCCTCGCCGCTGGACCATAGGGAATGTGTGAGTCTGGGTGGACGAGAGAAAGTCGTAGGCACGCATATGGGTAGACGAAAGAGCTTTAGATAAAGAGGAACTGTATATCAAGAAAACATCCCCGCCTAGTCCAGATCAAGTCCATAAGTCTGATATTAGCCCGCATGTCTGATACCAGTCTATAAATTCCTCTTCAGGCTCAGCAACACATGCAATGAGGTCGAATGCAGGACAATCACAGGCCAGTGGTGGAATGCCTTGTGGATCTAGCGGCAGTGGAAGCAGCTCAGTGCTGGCGTGCGTCTCCACGTGGCTCCTCCAACTCCATGGCTCGGGCTGCCATCAGCGTAGCTCCACGTGGCTTGTCAACAGGAATGCCTGGCAGGGAGATGCAGGAGAGAGAGAGTGTGTGTCTGGCAATGTATCTCCTTCCCACCTCCAAATGAGGTCACCAAGCTGCAACCTGATTGACCGGCTAGACTCCACCCCTTTGCAAGTTGACAGGAGATTCCGTAACTACCACAGGCAACATCACGGAACATGGAGAAAAGATGGGAGTTGTCAAGGATCTCATTTTTCTTGGATCCACAATCACTGCTCATGGAAGCAACAGTCCCCCCCCCGCCTGACCCCCCCAGCCAAAAAAAAAATCCAAAGGACACATTACAGTAGGTACATCCGCTGCGCAAGACCTCTTTAGCATATTGAAAAGCAAGGTTGTCACTTTGCGGACTAGGTGTGCCTGACCCAACCCATGGTACTGTTAATAGCCCCTTCGGCTTGTGAACGTTGAATAAGGAAGACCGGAGAAGAATCGCCAATCTTGACAGGACCGCGGACTGCCAAAAGGACAAGCACATCTAGCTAGGAAGAAGTCCAGCCAGAATGAGCCTGAGAAGTAGAGATGGCGAGACCTCGTCTGGCATCCTTAGGACACGTTGTCAGGAGAGACCAGTCCCTGGGAAAGGACATCTTGCTTGGTCAAGTAGAGGGGCCAAGGCAAAGAGGGAGGCCCTGGACAAGACGGGCGGACACAGTGGCTGCATCCACGGGGTCCTACATAAGAACGATTGTGCGGATGGCGACAACACCTAACCACAACAGGAGAAGTACCGCAGCGTGGGTCCCCAGGGGCTTGTCACTAACGTCACGAAACAAAATATCCCGCGGGTTGCTGAATGAGAAGCTAGTTCGCAAACGTTCACTCAGATCGCGACCATCGTTAACAGTCAAACCTCAACCAAGAAACACCTGATTGTGGAAGGGAATTGTGAAGGAGTGGTGAGGAATCCAGTCTCCAAGAAGACGGGGTGAACCCCTGAAACTGTTGCCCCTCAGGGACTCTCTAAGCCTGTACCCTGAAATATCGCCTTAGAACCCACAATGGCTGAACCTGGCACAGTGTGCCCTCCTCAGGCACTGTGCTTTTTAAAGAACTCTCTCTTTGCCGTTGGACTAACAGCAAGTGGAAAGATGGGGTAGGAAGCTGAGGGGCTGGGGAGCATGTGTCCACTCCGAAAAGGAGGAGGACAAGGGTTGTCCAACCCAGACAATGTCCCATATCCGAGTCACTGACTTGAGTGGAGAAAGTTAAACTGGGACATGTTCTGTGTATATCCCACGCCACCACCACCACGGAATCCCAACACGGAAGAGAAAGTCCTCCCTGGCAGCCCGAGATGTACAGATGCCCTTCCAGGATTTGCTCAGTGCAGTGGGGGTGACATGCTGGGCGGCAAACCACAGGCTCAGCAGTTTGAAACCAGCAGGAGAAAGACGGAGCTTTCTACACACACACCCTCTCCTACCCCTATCCAGAGTTGCCATCTGGGAAACTCACAGGGGCCAGTTCTACCCTGTCCTATCCGGTTGCTATGAGTCGGAATCAACCCAGTGGCAGTGAGGTGTTTTGTTTGTCCTTTTTTCTGGTGGGGGTGGGCATGGGCCACTAACCTCAAGGTCAGTGGTTTGAAACCACTAGCTGTTCTGTGGGAGAGAGACGAGACTCTACTCTCATCAAGAGTTGGGATACCAGGGGGAAAGAAAAACAAAAATGAGTTACAGTACCCGAAACCCACAGGGCCAGTTCCACCCGGGTCCTATAAGCCTTGATGGCAGTGGGCCTCGGTTTGGTTGGGGATTGCAGGGCAGGGGGACCCCGCCCGCCCCT